AACCTGTGGGGAGGGGGGTCAGTATGGCAGGTAAGCAGTTATTATCTACAGAACCTGTGGGGAGGGGGGTCAATATGGCAGGTAAGCAGTTATTATCTACAGAACCTGTGGGGAAGGAGGTGGTATTTAACGAGGTAGACACATCAATACAAAAGCTTTGAATATAATCGTTTTTGTTTCAGGTGAAATGGCAAAAAGATGACTTGGATAATAATTTGAATTTCTTCTCCGTGTCTTCGGATGGTCGGATCGTACAGTGGACAATTGTAAAGGTATTTTATTTTGTCACTTGGCTTCTGGTCTGTGATGGTACACAATGGTACACGATAGTGCATGATGGTACATGATAGTACATGATGGTCATGATGGTCATGATGGTCATGATGGTACATGATGGTCATGATGGTACATGATGGTACATGATGGTGCATGATGGTGCATGATGGTACATGATGGTCATGATGGTGTATGATGGTACATGATGGTACATGATGGTTCATGATGGTACACGATGGTGCATGGTGGTGCATGGTGGTGCATGATGGTGCATGATAGTGCATGACGGTGCATGATAGTACATGATGGTACATGATGGTACATTTTCTACGTGTCCCGTGGGATYCTTGCATCGTCTTTAGGGAATTGCCTACCATCCCGAGGAATCTCACGTCCTGAGGGATTTTCTACGTATCTCGTGGGATCCTTGCATCGTCTTTAGGGAATTGCCTACCATCCCGAGGAATCTCACGTCCTGAGGGATTTTCTACGTGTCCCGTGGGATCCTTGCATCGTCTTGAGGGAATTGCCTACCATCCCGAGGAATCTCACGTCCTGAGGGATTTTCTACGTGTCCCGTGGGATCCTTGCATCGTCTTGAGGAAATTGCCTAGCATCCCGAGGATTCTTACGTCCTGAGGGATTTTCTACGTGTCCCGTGGGATCCTTGCATCGTCTTGAGGGAATTGCACACCATCCCGAGGAATCTCACGTCCTGAGGGATTTTCTACGTGTCCCGTGGGATTCTTGCAGCATTTGGAGTGATTATCTAGCATTCTGAATCATTCTTCCTGCGCTCTCCTTAGTGATTCTTCCAACATACCGGCCAATCCTCTTTGCGTCYCAAGGAATTCTTTCCGACGTTCGAGGGATGCTTACATAGTCCCGCGCAATCGTCTCTCGTCTCGAGGGATGCTTTCGTCGCCTTGAGGGATCATGCTTTTATTGTAACCTTACTTTAAAATGTTTTTTGTACACACAGAGCGAATTGCTGTTCACTGATATTATAACACTAAAGTTAGGATCAGAAAACACTGAAGGACCGGATGGTACCCAGATAGTTAGTCTAGGTACGTAGCATTCGTAGTACTGGGGCTTGGAAGTGTAAAGCTCGAGAGAGGTATTGGAACACGAAGCATTGTCGGGTAACCTTTCAACTTTTTTCCATAAGAATAAAAACGCGAAACCAATTACCGCCATGTTGGATGATGAACAAACGCCCGAAAACATACAAAATCTTTTAAAATCAGCCAACATGGCGGCCATGACGTCACAAAGATCAAAGTATGGCCGCCATGTTGGATGACGAACAAACGCCCGAAAACATACAAAATCTTTTAA